TTGGCCATTAAACGAACGCTCCGCCCATTTTACGCTTCTGATGGCTTATTTATGTTCTGAAGATAATGTTCAATCTAATTTCTCAAGGGATCTCAAAAAGTCGAAGGGGTCGTTGAAGTTTCACTGCTAATTGTTCCAATTTATCGGTTGCCTCTGCGTAGCCAGAATTCTGTCAAACACATTGCCGTGACATACATTACTGCATATTATAATACATATATTCAGATTGTGGTACAATGGCTGTCCTAAGTATGCACGATACCACTACGCTTCACAATATATTTACTCAAAGGCGGAGAAAGGGAAGACTGTCCGTGAGTTGCAGAATGCAGTCCCTCGAAGTGTTTCCTCCAAAAAATGGATTGTTTCATCCTGTTTAGCTGGTCCCCATACGACCAATCCAAATCCGTATAATATCCCCACGGGTGGCATCCCCTCGCCTCCACTGGACTCAGTTCGGCTTGCTGCTGGTCGTCCTACGCAAGAGGAGCTTTATGCTGACAAGTGAGTATAATTACCCTTTTTCGAAAACAGCTTATCGTTCCAAGCATACCAAGTGATCATCTTGAGCTTCAGTCCCCAAAGTCTCCGTCCACTGGCTCAATCATCCAATACAGTCGTCATTCCTCCTCCTCTGCCAGCCTCTGCTAAACGCGATTTCACTGAGCGAACACCATATACAGAAAAGCGAAGGAGAACGTAAGATGTTGTTACTTTTATTCCCATATAAACAGAGCCAACGCAGTGATTAAAGACCAAAGGTGTTTTTTGTGAATTGAAACCTATCCAAGTCATCCAAACCTGTTATCTCTCAGAGTTCGAACTTTTCTTGAGAGGCAAATCTTCTGCTTAGACTATAGTGAGTCATAATAAAGGCAAATTACCATGTCATAGACTTTTTTAGAAAAAATGAAATTCAAGCAATTGGCTCTTCTTTACGTCTATCTAGCGGAGATATGCCATGCACGGAAACTCCGACATTTTTCTTTTGACCGCCCTGTCGTTGTAATGGGAACTATTCTAGGGGGACCGAGAGAAATGTTCGAAAATCTCAACACGAAAGCACTTATCGTGCTATGAGCAGCCGAGAACTCTACCGTACACTCAGGTAAGAAAAGATTTGGTTGTGAGTCAGCAACGCTGTGGCTCACCTAGCTGGAACAGTTTTCATTACACCTTTCTTAGCTTTTTTGTACAACTTGCACCTCATCTCTGAGTAATCTTAAGTTTTTGCTCAGCTGTTTGCTAGAATACAAGCGCTGATTTCTTCTTGGGCGACCCGTAAGGAATTGTTTGAGTGAGCTTTGCATCCCAATCTCTCCCAAGCCCCGGGCTGGACACAGATGCATGGCTTATCCTGAAAATTTGACATAACAATCACCGATGTACCTGTACATGGCAGTTTTTTCAAAATGTTTGTTTTTTACAGAGCTATCAACGGGCTGACGTCTAATCCTGTGGGAATTACCAATGACCCAGCTTCACTTCGAGGAGGAAATCAGGGTGGAAGTGACAATTTTGAAAGAAGGCCACGGTGACTAGTTATATTCGCTCATAAATTTGTCTATTCCTTTATTCAACCATTGGAAGTCCACGTTAGTTAATCAGAAAGTAAAAATGGAGAAAAATACAAGAAAAGAAAGAAAAAACGGAGGAAAGAAAAAATATTTTATGAAAAAATTGTAATTGTATTGATTTCGTGACATCAAACCCAGGTTGAAAGCAATAGAAAATGGCAAAACAGTTTAAGTTCAATTTCTTAAAGAATTCTGGCATCACTGGTCTAATTCAGGGCTCAGCAGGCTAGCACCCATCCTGTGGTGCCATCGGATGCCTCCTTGGGCGAAGATAACACTTTCAAGGTAGTTTTCAGAATTAAAGAATTGTTTTTGGGATCACTATGAGTGAAATCTTTATATTCCACTGTTAACAGCAATTTGATGGCCTAACGGATAGCGCTGGTATTTTGCATCGACCAAGAAGTCGTAGTCCTTTCACTAAGCCAGGTTCGTTGACACTACTTTACACTTTCATCGCCAGTTATCTTCCATTATTGTTACTTATTATGTATCATTATCTCAACTGAGAGTAAGACGTATGTTAAGGCTTGTGGGAACCGAATCCGGACGATCCCCATAATCGGGATCATTCAAATAAGTTCTTCTACTATCCACGTTCAGTGACAGCAGATTGGCTCAATGGACAGGTACACGACAAACCTTTGCATGTGGTACTACTAGTTTCTTCGTTAAAAACCTTTATAGATCGCCTGGGGAGCCCATTGGGCAGTTCCAGCGGCTGGAGTGGGTGGTACCGATGGCTTCAGTACAGTTCATTTCCCAACAATCGGAACATTCCTCAACATTCCTGATGACTACGATTAACAAGTCCCTCGTTACTTTTCTACAGTACTCACCACTTAGCCATCTCACCACTACGATTAACAAGTCCCTCGTTACTTTTCTACAGTACTCACCACTTAGCACCGTTAAGCTTCACACCTACCATTTTGATGTAATTATTGCCCACATATAGCCTTCAATTCTTTTTTTTTTT